ACTTCAATGTTCATCATTGTCGCATAACTTTCATGCCTTTATCAATGATCAACTTCTCAAGCTCCATAACCGATATAACTTCCATGCCTCTTGAATGACTCCACTTAAATGAAGATAAACCCATTGCTCTATCATAACCCTCAAACTCTTAATGGTTGGACTTTATTGTACTTTCGCATAGTGGGCTTTCTCCACCCACTTTGGGCTGCATCTTCACTGGACTCGAGTTGTTTGGGCTCCACCTCTTCACCATAGACCTTTTATTCAACCTTTGGGCTCAAGTCCCTACTTGAGCTTCCGCAAATTACGTATACTCACACAATTGAGCTTATCCATCCGTTTGAGCTTCATTTTTTTCATATTTTCAATTCATATTTTTGGGCTCAGCACTTTTATTTGGTTCGTCCGAGGCTCTTTAAAATAGTCTCGAAAATTCTAAACTCAAATGACAACGAACCCTTCTCTTCTAATACCTTTTCGATGCTAATTCTAAAGCTTTTTAAAATTTATCTCGGAATCAGTTCAATATCCATTCCAAAACTAATAATCAAATTTCCGATAGTAACATTATATATAATTATGTGTATATATTTTATTTATTAATAATATTGATGAAAAAATATATTGGTAGAAAAAAATTAGATCAACACACACAAAACAAACACAATTAATCTAAATGTAATATTTAGATTAAATATAAGCTAGATAAAATTTTAATATAGATCTGACTTTTTTAATATATATATATATATGAAAAATTAATTATCTTTATTTATGATATTAATACGTAGAATTTTGATTAATTTAAATTTTAATCAATCAATAAACAATAATATTATACTAGGACATTCATACAATATAACTATTTGTTATTATTTAACACAAAATATATTATTTGTATTTATAAATAATGTTGATTTTCTTTTTACAATATATCATCATGATACTGATTTTTTTCCTCCTTCAATATAAGTAGCCGCGGTCTTTGAAAATGAATTCAAAAAATATTTTTTATTTATTATTTAGATTATATGAACTATATATTTATTATTATTTACTAATAAATAGAAACACAACGGCATAATTAAAGATATACATTTGAATAATTTTATTTATTTTTTATTTATGTGAAATTTTATAGAAAGTAAATTTATTTTTAGTCACTAATTATAGTAAAAATATTTTTACTTCATTTGTCATTCAAACTTATGTCACTTTTTTTTTTTTTTTTTTTTTGTTATCATTCAAAAATATTCTCATTTTCTTTTTTCTAAATTTTCTTTACTATAAAAGAAATTTTTTTCTATTTTTACTCACTTTTCTTTAAAACTCGTACCTGATCAAATTGACATAATTTTACATGACAAAAAGAGTATAATATATTCCAGTATTTTATGAAAATTGTATAGAATATTATATACTTCCTCCGTCCGACTCTAATGGTCTCATTTACCTTTTGCGTCATTGTACTTAACATTAAAAATATCTTTATATTTGTATTATTTTTGTACAAACATCATTACAATAGTATTATTATAAGACACTAATAGAAGTATTTTTACCATTTTCTCTTGATTTGTACTATATTTTTATATAATAATTAATATTTAAATATCAACATACAAAAAGTAAATGAGACCGTTAGAGCCGGAAAGAATGAGTATTTTATTTATTGCATATATTTTTTCATTAATATAAAATTTGCATTTATTATTGTCCAAAAACAACGATAACTAAGAATCATGTATTTATTATGTAGATGATCTTATATGGAAGAATCTTGATAGTGTTGAGAATATTTTCAGGAGCTTTAAAAAGAAAATGAATATCAGGTTCATGATTGTTAAACCTCTTTGTGTATATATTGAAAGAATTAGGATTTTGATTTAGTAATCATGAATGAAGAAAGGTTGTTATGATTGTATAATTTCAAATTATATATATACATACTAGAAAAAAATTTGTATTATGCACAGGATTAGATAATATATGTTTTTTTATGTCAGTTAAAATTGATAGTTTAAATTTATGCATAATATATTTACAGTTAAAATATACTTTTATTATCTTTAACATATAATAATGATTGTCACTATATAGTTTTTATTTATCCTACTTTTTTTTTACTTAACTTTTTAGTAAAATTTTTGTGATACTTCTGTTATATTTTTATTTACCCCACATATATATTAAATGATATTGTTTCTAAGTTTTTATTTTCGAATAAAATAACATAATATTTCAGCGAACAAAATATTATAAATTGATATATCTATATAGGGATGTTCATAAATATATATCAAAAAAATATTTAGTATAGCTGTTAAACTGCTAATATATATGTATATATATTTTTTATGACATGAAAACTACAATCGCTAATCTTCGAGTGCGTTATGAGTAAACTCCCGATTGAACCTAATAACCTACAAATTAGACTGACAAGACAAATCACACTAGACTAAAATATATAATATTTATCATATCATAGAAAAATAAATTTAATCTGATTTTTTATTTGTTATTTATAAAATTAATGGTATGAATTCGGAAGCACTATATATCACTACCAAAAAATGACTATTATAGCAGTAAAAAATTAGTAACTAAAATTCAATTTTTATGCAAAATAGTCTTTTATGTTGACTTTGTTACGGATTTTTACTGCTACGAAAAGTTGCGGTACAAAAATTCTTTGTTGCAGAAAAATCCGTAACAAATAAATGACGGTCAACGCCGTAAATAAGTTCTTGCTAATTATATTTTTTTACGTTTTATTCTACGTAACAAAAGGATCGATCATATTTCTGCGATTACATATGTCCGTAACACAAAATGCGGAACAAAAATGGCATTTTGTCGAAGAACCTTTTTTACGACATATATACGTAACAAAAAATATGAAACAAAAGTGGAATCCTGTCAAATATTGTTAGGACATATAACAAAAATTGTAGAACAAAAGTAAAATCTTGTTAGAAAACTTTTTGTTACGACGTATGTTTGTAATAAAAAATACAAAACAAAAGTCATTTTCATTGTGGAACACTCTTTGTTACGAAAAATTTCATAACAAAAAATGTGGTACAAAAAGCGTCTCTGCATCAAATAAAATTTCCGTCGCCTCAAATAAAAATTGCACGTGTCATGGTATTTCTTACGGATCCAATTCCATGACAAATAACTAAATGCATAACTTTATCATAACTAATCTAAACTCCTTAATGAAAACTTGCTTTCATGAAAATAAACAATGATATCAGCAGTTTACAAATAAAAAATAATAGTAAGAGAAATCATCGATACTATTTTATACATAACGAATATGGTCGAATCTATTTCAAAAATGGCTGAAAAGCATAACATTTTCTTTTTACTTAACAAGTACTACATGTGAGATCATATAAAAGAATAGCAAGTAACAGGTCATACGAAAGAATAAAAAACAACAGGTCTGTAATTATGAAAGAATTAGAAGCAACGAGCTAAAAGAGAAAAAAAAAAAAAAAAACATCAAATTTTATGTCTATTTCATCTACTAAATATGCATACAATTAAATATGTAATGCAACCAGAAGAATTCATTGCACTTCCCACTCGCAGTAATCAACTCTAAGCTTTTCTAGAAATAAAATATCTAGTAATAATCCAAGACTCACCGACGTCTAAGCTCTTTAGAATAATAATAGCGAAATCATGACCCATATATGGAATACGTACAATTTAAATGAACATGCATTCATGAACATATTCACTATCAATGACAACTACGGTCCACCAACAAAAGTGCCTAGGATACAATATACAACAACCGAAAGCACTGCATATCTGACGCGGCCGTCCAAGCTCAGAAAAACGATTATTGAAGATGGATGTGCTAGACATTATAATTATTTTATATCCAACTCAAAGGTCACCCAGCCGAGTCATCCCGAGACTAGGATCATAAGAACTGGGACTTCAAGACTAAGACAATATATCATGGAAGAATCTCAAAGTTATCTTATTATATATTACCTATTATTATAAGTTTCTATATAGTATAATTCAATATCTAGAACTTTTATTTCCTTATAGTTAGACTTACATTTTGGTTTGTTTCCTTTATTATTTTTTGCCTTTTATTTTTCTCAAGGACCTCTGTATAAGGTCTTTGCCTATCATTATAATAGAGTAGAGTGAATGTTGAGTAAAATTTATTTATTGTTTTCTCTCAATATTTTTCTAGTGCTAGGATGTGATTTCATCCCACTTAGATATGTCAAATCTGGTTTTTGGAGTGATTCCATCGGTTCGTGCTTCCAATCCTTTGCAGTGGAATTTAGCCTATTGTTTGTGTTTTAATCTATGAGTTGATTTCAGATCCGAAACTTATTATTGTGATTGGTTATCATCCATATTAATTCAAATTAACTGCACTATCCTTTCTTCTTTATCCCCTCTTCTTTCAAATCGGGTATTTGGAGTGATTCTATCAGTTCGTGGTTTCCAATCATTTGTAGTGAGATTTAGCCTATTGTTTGTGTTTTAGCCTATAGTTTGATTTCAGGTCCGAGACTTACTCATGGTTGGTTATCAACCATATTAAATTCACATTCTCTACACTATTTTTTTTTTTCCATTCTCTACACTATTTTTTTTTCCATTCTCTTTTCTTTCATCCATATTCTGAATCCATTAGTTCTATTAAACTTTATGGCTAAGGAAATTAGGATGGGCATAATCATACGGGGTCGGGCCGTGTCAATATCCCTAGCACTGAAAGTACACTGAATTACATTTAAAATCCAAAGAAAGCCGGCTGAATGGATAAATTCCGAATGAAACAAATATTGTCGACTCAAAAATACAACAAACCTAATAAAACAAGCTAAAATCAACAACAAGAACAAATGGTAACTCCTACTGAGGGTTTAACCTCAAATCATAACTGTGTCAGACCCTACAATGATATATATTAAAAGTACGTCTTGAAGATTATGCATACACATATAAATTTAGACACATCACATATTAAATTGCGATAACAAACCTGGGGTGGGGGCGGACAACATGATCCCTTCTGCAACATGTTTTACCAAGCCACGGGACCCGACCTACATGAAGGTGTTTGCCACGATCAAGAACATTCTTATACACTAACAAGGTATAAGAAAAATAATGTGCTATGTAAAAGAATTTAGATATTCTGTTAAAAATCCATCACATATTCATGTTAACTAACCGGAAGTGGTTCGTGGACCTCGGTCCCCGGCGTCTCCGACATTCTATGGGTGCGGCTACATCACTACAAGCAATTAAGGAATTATTTGAGTCGCTAGTAGCTCGGCAGGATATAAAGTGTCATACAATTAATGTGAAGATATTGTATCTTCCTTACCGGGGCTCTTACTGATGCTCCATCAGGAGAGTTCTTCCAAGCATAATACTCGGCATGCATATTTCTAAGCTCAGCCATGACAGCCCTCAACTCAACAAGGCCTTCCTTAAATTCCTCTGCCAGTTTTTGGACATCTTGGCTATTGGTAATGCCGGTTGATTGAGTATGTGGGTGGGCAGAATTAGCTGCACTATCTATAGCTGTCTTCCTTTTCCTTTTTTCCCTGAGAGCATGTTGGTATAGAGCCTCTCTCGCAGCCGTGGTTCTTTTATCGGTTAGGAGTTTGTTAAGTTCTGAATTCAAATAAGTCTATACAAAATCACGTGTTTAAGCATACATTTACTTAGTTTCTACGAATGGTTTAATTTCAAAGCTTTAATTTCCTCTGACACTAAGCAAAGATATAGGTGGAAAAGAGAAAAATAAAAATAGATGTAACAACAACCAGACTCGGGACAAAAGTAAATGGAAGACTGAAAGTAAAACAAAATCTGCAGAAGAATCTGGTTAAAGGGGTAAGTGTCAAAACTGTTTCTCGTCTACTATTTTTCTTTCACTTTCAGAAGAGACTCAAAGACGACTCATCCATCATCGACTCTCAAGCTTAAGGTTTTTACTATTTCCTATACAAACAGGAGAGTCATAACACATGCCATGCCTAAAGACATCATTTTAACCAACACCAAGATACAATGTAAAAACTGTAAACTTCATTTTATGAAAATAGAGTTGATAAAACTTTAAAATAATAATAAATTAGAATCTCCAGTCACATTATACATTGCCTAATATACGATCTTCGAACAGTTATAAGTCCACCTCTGCAGCACCTCGTTGTTCAATAACTTAATCCTACAAATGAAAGTTGAAGAAATGACTATTATTCGACCATGAAACACTCAATTTCAGAAAACACATCCATACTTGTATTTACCCAAGAAAACTTATAAAACCTAACTCGCTATTTACCGAGTAAAAATATGAAATAATTTGTACAAGAAGATTATCCAAAAATCTAGAACACTAAAGAAACTAAAAACCAATTTTCATAGCTTCAAAAGAGCAGTCCTAAGTTTTAACTCACCGTTCGATTTCGTAAGAACTATGATGCGGCGACGAAGATTTACGCTGCCAAAAACTCAGAGAACACGAGTTTCAAACCAGCGACGGTAGAAAAGATGGCGGATTGGAGTGAAGTGTAGAGCAGATCTTTTTGTTGTGCGTAGATCGGGAGGCGATTTGAGGGAAAAGGAAAAGGGCAGCGTGTGTATGTATGGAATTGTACATAGATGGAGAAAGTGTTACTATATGTTGAGAAAGTGTTAATACGCTTTCTATCCTTGTTATTTTTAAATTATTATATTTTTTAAATAATTTTATAAATATATTTTTTAACGGGTTAATATATGTTGGAAAAATGGAAAAAGTGTTAACACGATTTCTATTCTTGATTACTTTTTAATTATTATTTTTTAAAAATAATTTTATATAGATTGTTTTTTAAAAAATTATTTATAATTATAATATTATGTTTTTTACAGTTTTTTAATTATTATTTTTTATTGAATTTTATATAGATTATTTTAATATTGATTTTTTGTTACGGTTTGATATACGTAACAAATACATAGATACTAAATCTCGTTATAATTGTAGTTGTTATGGATAAACGATCAAAACAAATAATAAAAATGTTGACCAACACAATTTTATTTTGTTCCTACAAAAATCGTAACAAAAATCACTTTTTGTGACAGAAGTATCGTTACGAACAATATATCAGCTACAAATGGTTGATTTTTTGGTAGTGTCAAATAGTTTTGGTTGGTATGTTTCATAGTTGTATGAAATGTATTTATCCTTTGTAAGGGTTGTTGTAGAAATTTGTTCAAATTTGTTATGCCACAATCATATCTTTCATCATAACAATATCTGATCCTACAATGAGTCTTGTTAACGTGCCTTTGTTTCATAACTTTTGCCACTATGTGTCGTTGATTAGTGAAGCAACAGAACACTTGTAGTTTTTAATCATGATCGCGTGGTGCTTTGTGTGGAAGTAGAAAGTTCATTCCATTTGTTCTTCTAAAGTCATAATAGTTATAAAAGAACTCGGAAATCAATGTCTGTATACTTGGACGTAATCAATCTTATAGAATATCATTTTACTTATATCAAGCAACAAAATAATTAATGAAATATTTTCTCTCTTGTGAATGTGAGTGTCTGTGTGTGTGGAATAGGAATATATATATATATATAAAAATAAAGTAGCTTTCATTTCCCAGAGGCACACTGAATTGCAGATTTGAAGTTAGTATGAATCTATGCTATGACTTCTAAAGGTAGCGCCACTATAAACTTATAGTAATTGTACTATACCTATTTTGTCATTTTAGTCTGTTCAAAATTAATTAATTTTTTTAAAAAAATAATTGTACTTACTACATAAATTTAGAAAATTTTACGTATTATTACAACAAAAATTATCATCATTGTTTAATACCAATATTCATAATTTTTAATGAAAAAGTAAATAGATATATACATATGAGATTGCTAAAATATTATATTCTATGATAGTTTTAAAAATATTATCAAATAATTAATTTATTAAAAACTTTCATATTATATTAAACTAATTATCCAATATATATTGCATGCTATGTTACTCTTTTTTATAATTATTTTGACGATGTCATTGTTTTCTTTATTTTATTTTTTCCGTTTGTTTTATTAATATTGCATTGTCTTATTGTTTTATTCTAAAATTTATTGAAAGATCTGCAAGAATAATATTATTTATTATTTAAATATTTTCGATTAACACATTTTTAAAAAAATAACACTCAATGATATTTAAAATTTTGAATCAATTTATGTTACTTATTTATTTTAAATATTTATTATTTAACCTCTAAAATATAACTATTTTTATATTAAATATATAAAAAAAATAATATTTTTTAAAAGTCCGTGGGTTGGCCCGCTTGGCTCGCCATCCGCCGGTGGGTTGGGTTGGGTTGCCTAAATATTAGTTCGTCTATCGCAGGTTGACCCGCAAATAACCCGCTTATTTGCGAGTTGGTGAGTTTTAGATAAATCCGCTCCGTCAATCCGTTTTGACAACTCTAATCAAATCGTAGTATAATCTTAAAGCTAGCTAAGAATGACAACTATGGACAACGAAGTACATCGATTGTAAAATCACAAAAGAGGCAATAAGAGGCAACAAACAAATTGCAATGAATTTTTAAGATATAAAAGAATTTATTATTGCCATTGAAACATTTAGTTCTCAAAAGAATACAATTAATTAAAAAATATATATATTCTTGTTATTTTTGTGAGTACCTCACCGAGAATTTTCACTCCGGCATTCGTTAGGGTATAAGCGGGGTCTCCGGGACCGTAACATCTGTGACAAACATTTTAATAATGGCTAAGATATTACCTATATAAATACGAAAAATTTATGCTAGTTACGATGAAAAATGATCTTTATAGACAAATTTATGAATACATTTGAATTGAAAACTTGTAATGGCATACGAAAGTGAATGATATATCCTAACATATATAACAACAAAAAATAACCATTAACTTGTTGTACAGACTATACCCTAAATAAACATATAGCAATGTTTAAAACTAAAACATAAACATCAGGCTAACCACCTAATATAGTCAAAACCATACAACAACAATAAAACACCAAACAGTTCATACAACACCAACAAACTAAAACAGCCCGATGACTACCAAACAAGAAATAAACCATAAAAGCATATATCCATATGAAGTCGGACAACAACAATAAACCAACATTTATAAACCACGACACCATAATCTTTACAAACCTATACAACTCAAAGTAAATAATACGGATGAAATCCTCCTGCAGCAGAAAGAACATAACAGTCACTATAGCAACAAATAACCACCAAACATACCTTACAACAACAATAAACCATACAATTACCTTAAACCCAAATAACAACCCTTATAACAACGTATTCAAATACAAACATAACAATCATACATAAGATCCAATCTACATAAAAAAAAAATTCTACAACAACACAATAAATTAAATACCCACATAAAAAAATTCTATAACAATCATACACGTTGCTCCATTGTTTTGGCGGTACAAACATTGGCACATAGGGAATAATCATATGTCTAACCTACATAAACTATAGATATACAAATGCCCAAATTAATACTTAAGAAGTGGAAAAAAAATGCAAAATTGCCCATAACGCTCTTATGGTTTCGAAACTCAGCGTAAATTTCTCATGTACTTTAAAATTTGCATGGCAACCCCTTATACTTTCAAAATTGTTGTACGGAATCTCCTTATATTTTTATGTGATGAGAAGTTGATTTCTCATATATACATTTTTTATGGCGTAGAAATTCATGCAATATTTTTTAAAATATAAGGAGACGCCATACAATTTTAAAAATACATCACTACAAGAAAAAATTATTTTTGTAACAAAATTTTTTTGTCTCTAAATCTACTTTTTCCGTTACTAATGACATTAGAGACATAATTAGGAATGGAATTACGGTAGCTACGTGAACTTTAGGGACAAAATTCCGTTACAAATATATTATTTTTTTGTAGTGCATGGGGGATTTATGTTGATTTTCAAAATTACAGGAAAATTATGAACAATTTTGCCCAAAAAAAAAGTCAATCTCTAAAGAAAAAAAAAATTAGTTTTATTTCATCAACTAATACCAAAAGTAAAAACTAATTAAAACGTCCCCCGGTTCAAAAACTAAGAAGAGCTACCAAAATAGAAAGCATAGCTTGCCTTTACTTAACAATTAGAGGTAGTCTTGTATGTCAGACATATAGGACAGATAATCCTTGATGAGGATTATATAATTATATAGATAAGCAAAATAATGATCCCAAAAGAACTCCGATGGATAAACAAGGCAAAGTCATGTGAACTTAAAATAAAACCAAATTAAAGAAGAGCTAAACCAAACTTGGAAATTCGATCACGTGACGCATGTTTCAAACCATAGAGAGCACGCCACAACTTGCAAAGTATAGAACAATGAGCAAAATCTAAAGGTATTAAAACATCCTTGGAGATATCACCATTAAGAAAGACATTCTTAATATCCAATTGCAACAAAGGCCACATACAAATAGCCACAATTGCAATTAAATAACTAATAAAGGTAAAACACGCGACATGTTTTAAAGCGGAGAACATATCTAAGTTGTTGCATATGTGACATATAGCTCCACTATCTATAAGCCAAGAACTACAATCTAATTGTGCAGAACAAGTAAAAAACATTATATTTGAGAATTCAATGATTGAATTTTCTATAAACACTTGAGAGTCAGCACTCTTGGCAAGAAGCTTTTCCACCTCTACTCGAACGACAGTTTCAATATTTGGTATTTCACATTCTGTGGTATGGACTTAATCTCATTCCTCACAACATTAGCCACACCTTTCTTTTTATCCCTCAAATCTTTGTACCAAATGGGAACCCTATGAAGTTTGAAGCAAGATTCACATGTGTGGCCTTTCTTTTACAATAATCTTAGTTCTTGCCCATGTGTTGTTATTTTCTATCATTGCACTTCTTGCTTGATCCATTGCCTCCTTCAATAACAAAGGAATTTGTTCAATTGCAATATGTATTTTCTTTTATTTCTTAACTTGCACAATCATGGAATAGGGTATATTGGGCAACATATCCATGACTAAGATTTGTCCCCAAAAAGTTTCATAAGTATCATTAAGTCCATTCAAGAATTTAATCAGCAGATCTTTTTTCATTCGTTCAGTATATTTTTGGCTTAAGTCACAGCTCATCCCACAGCTCTTGAAGCTTAGTAGCATAAGAAGCAATCGAATCATCACCTTGTTTCAATGAGCTAATTGAAAAGTTGAGTTGATAGATTAAAGAGCCATTAGATTGGTCAAATATTTTCATTCAGGCTCTCTCATAATGTATGAAAGCACCTTCAAGTTTAGAGGAAATAGAGTTATCTATGATTTTACAAAAGCTTCCAACTCAATTCATGCCTCAAACTAAGTAGAATCCTATGTAGGTTTGCCTTATTTTTCATAAATAAAGTCTATCTTACCTTTAGCAATAAGAGCATTTTGCACCCTACGACTCTAATAAAAATATTTCTTCCCATTAAGAGGAACAATTGTAAGTGCGAATC